AATCAATGAAAATTTAAATATAAGTATTTAACAGAAAAAAAGTCATAAGCGCTAATTCACGTAGTTAGAGTTGTCCGCAATTCTCGTCAGTATAATAGGACTATAAATAAGCTAACATATAGGCTAGGTTCCCTCCCTTGCTTATCGTCTAACCGTCAGGATTCTTATGGAGTAAACTATCTCTTTCACCAAAATATTGAGTATTCAAGTCTTTCTACTGGAGAGGTTTAAATCTACGCGGTAGACATATAACGGTTATCATCAACACCTGATTCCCACCTACGTGATTTAGGCGTCTGCTAAAGTAAATATAACTGTTTGTTGTATTGTTGGAAACCTATCCAGTTCCCTATATTTGACACAAGTAGACGCCATCAGGATATCCACATGTCACACAGCCTTTCTCGTTTTACATACTGTTTGTTACGATACATATTGTTTTTCCTTTTTTTGTCTTGCTGTTTCCACTTTAGCTTAAATGTCTGTTTGAGGCCGGCAGTGTTGACTCTGTGGTAGGGTGTTATTCATGATGTGGCATGCATTGCAACTGAAATGTGTCAATTGTGCAATATTCAAAATTCCATAAATTACACTCTGCTGGTCCCTACATTAAAGATCGTAGTATAAACTGATTGCACTAGTGTGTGTATATATATTTATTATTGAATGTAACAGACATCTGCATTTTGTAACATAACTTTTATCTTGTCAAATACAAGAGCCGCCCTTAACTTGTGATTTGGTTGCAAATGTCAGGTTAGAACGCCGGCGGAAGTGCTTGTTTGCCAGATCCTGTGTTTATACTCTGTTACGCAAAAACATATACCAAAGTAACGTATCAGTTCACGGCGTAAAGCTTTCTAGTACAATACAGACCCTTCTACAGGCATGCAACAGATCTTAGTGCAATACCATCACACTATGTATTTTTCAAATTAATCATGCATTGGATTTAAACATATGGCTATGAGAAAAAAAGTAGTCATGTATACAACGTGTCACGTGTATTTTGTGTTAACCGATCCTCTAACTGTATCAATAGCTCTTTTATGCTAATGAAGGAAGCATGTCAAACAAAAGATGGATTTTAATGAAATTAATACAGTTAACAAAATGGAACAAAAACAAAATAAATTCTAAAACAGTATCACCCACTCCTACGATCTTATCTTTTAGTTTAAACATATTTTATTGACAACATATTGACAAAGTGATTAGTCGGTAAGTTTTTCCAACTTATAAATTGACTTCTCCCGTAATACATACAACAATTGTCACATGATGGTAAGAAAATAAATATGNAACCAGGAGACAGACTGGGGGTTGGAGGTTGGATCGAAAGGGGTGGGGTTGGTAGTTAGTCATTTGTTTCACCGCAGTTGTCCCATACTTCACATGCATATTCCAGTAGAGGTCGGACATAAGTAAGATATAATTTGTTTAATGTATTTCTTTTTAAAATATGTTTTAGTTTCCGAAGGGTTGCTATATATTTGGTTACTTTACTGACAATATATTCAACATAAACATTCCATTTACAGTCGTTAGTAAGAATAACACCTAAGTGCTTATGTTGATTTGAATGAGTAATTTGAATGGGGGTGTTATCAAAGGTGAATGCAGGGATGAATGGAAGAGGGAGAGAGGAAAAATAACAGGAAATATCATTTATTTATAGAAGGAAGAAAAGAGGACCAAGAACAGAACATTGAGGAACACCAGCTTTTATGGCCTTAAAGGAAGAAAGAGAATCATTGATAAAAACCGCCTGTTGTCTGTTTGAAAGATAACTAGTTATCCACTGAAGAAAAGAGCCCGAAATACCATAACTATTTAATTTATGTATTAGACCTCAGTGCCAGACGCGGTCAAAAGCTTTTGAAAAATCACAAAATATTAATAGAGAATGTTCGTAATTGTCTAAAGAGGTAAATATTGAATGATATAGCTCAATAAGTTAATGTGTCGTGGAATGGTTAGGTAAAATTCCTGACTGATATTTATAAAAACGGTCATTTTCAATCGAAAAGTTATATACATGTTTATAAACCAAACGCTCAAACATTTTTCCATTCAGATTAGCAATGAAATCGGTCTGTAATTGGAGGTAATACTTGCATCATTCGCTTTTTCCAGTTATCAAGATATGTACAAGAAGACAGAGAATAATTAAAAATAATGGATAGCGGTACAGAAATCTCGCTAGTTAATAATTTGAGCATTTTATGGCTAATACCGTCAGGACCTGATGCCTTATTTACATTTTTATAATATCTTCAACTTCACTGGGAATTGTATTTATTTCTGATAAGATGGAGTCAGTCCTCCTCTCAAAAAAAAGCAATTCTTTATCCGTATCAATTTCTGATAACGAACACACACAACTAAAGTTTTTGTTTAAGAGTTCACACTTTCTATCGTTGACGTTGTCATAAATTATTTCATTTGTAGTACCGTCTAATTATGGGGATATTTCTGTGTGTTTTTTTAGCTTTAAGAATATTTCGGAAAAGTTTCAAATAAATCTTAGGATTGCTGTTACTTTTATCGATTGCTGTATTTATGCTATCATAAACTATTTCTTTAGCTCCCTTAATCATAGTATTTACTTGTTTCTCATGTATTGTAAGACCTTACTTCTTGTTTGTCGGTTTTTTACGTAGGCTGTTGGTCAACACGGAGCTTTATCCCGATTATTAAAAGGTAACAAGTGTATGTTATTTGTACCACAAATCAGCATTTGGCATTGTGACATATATTGAAAGTCAACACTTGTGTTTTCTTACTTGTGTTGGAATTTACCACTTGACACGTAATGGTTTTATATGATATCTTTCTATGCTATGAATTCCTAGAAATGCAAATTTGATATAAAGATAGCGTCTGGCACTACTAGGCGTATGTCAATTTTCTTGATCACAGGGAAACACACAAAATGCATTTTTGTTGTATCCACGTTATATATTTCTCAGACGAAAACCAAAAATACATACTTATGAGGTGACAGCTCTTACGAACATGACCATTTGGTTTGGAAATAAATTGCACCGACAGCTCCTGTGTGTGATTATTCTGGCCCGTTGTAACTAGGCAGTGTTAACAAACAACACTTATAGATAAGGATGAAACGAGTGTCGTTAATGGCTGGAAATGTTCGAGATTTTTTAAAAGCTATACATATGTGAGAAGTGATATGCTCTTCACGCCACACTTGAAATGCCTGCGAGGCGAAGTGTCGGCTGTTGACTTGTTTACCAACATGTCTGTTTGATTCAGTGTGACACGGTATTGATATATCGTTTGTTATGTAAGCTAGAAAGTACACGATTCTTCAAAATAATAAATGATACACAAATAAAACTACATGTATATCAAACACCAAAACTCTAGGGAAATGTGGGCACCAAAAAAATAGGAAGGGCAACAAAGACATACTAAGTGGGACATGCTTTGGGCGCGGGAACGTTCATCGGAAGAGGATAAAGACGAGAAAAGGCGAATAAGACGACCTATTTGCCATTTGCCTCACACATCCTATGTTGATTGTGATCACATCATATTGTACTGCGGTACTATGGCTAAGACAGTGGGTACAATCCTCACCAGGCTGTGTTGGGTAGATCTGGGGACCAAAAACGTATCAAAACTAAAGGAAAGTGACTGCGCATGCCCACACGGAGACCGACCAGAATTAAATAAGATATATTCTATTCATAATGACATACACACAGCCATTTTAATATTAGTCAATATAACTCTCAATGCAGATTGTATCTTAGCTAAAGCAATCATTCTGATTGTTAAATACGTTCGTAAATTCGTAAAAATCTCAAGAAAATGAGATCCTTTACAATATTAATAGTACAAACGTAACTCGTGGTTACCTGACAGTAGGGCTATTCCAATGCTCACCTAAAGGTTAAGAAACATAAAGGGTTTAGGGAAGTTAGAGGTGTATGGAGGTATATGGGGTCTGGGTGTGATATAATGCCCAATTTACACACATTTGGAATATGTAATAACTAAACTGGCTCGGTAGGTCAATTCCGCATTGTTATTCATCCTTTGGTATTAGCTATAGATATATCATATTACGGTAGTTGCATCTGTTTTCGTAAATACGGATTTGGTAACTACCTTGGGATTTCTGCATTGACATTGATATCTTTTGGCGTAAGACGACCAGTCGGATTAACGGTGATATCTGTATATATATATGTATATATCGTATGTAGGTACGAGTTGCGATGTTTGGCGAATCCTAAGAAAAGCTGCTCAATGTTTTTTACGTTATGGTTGCGGTATCTGGGACTGTTTGATGCTCCAAAATGTCAGATTACGTACGGAAGCTTGTACAAACGCCAGAAACAAGAGATATTTCATAATGGCGTGTCAGACAGCCATGGACCGATGCCTTCGAGTCGACTGTAATTGCTAATCGTATCCACCGTTGGACGTTCGCCGATACAGTTGATACCACGATAACAGGCCAACATATGTGGCCATTTGGTGTTCCTGCAACTCTGTTTTAGTATTGCAACATTCTAATAATTTGTTCGATATTATTTCTACTTGTCGAGTCACGAAAACTGTGTTTTTTTTCTCTCTTATCTGGTGTTAACAGTTAGATTAAATATATTTTAAAGCACCGTTTTACTTATGGTTTTTCATGCAAACTTTTGCGTAAGAAATTTCAATGGATCCGCGTTTATAGTTTTACACAAGGACATGCAGACATACACTGCTTACTTCCATCGCTACTATTATTTTTACTTCTATTGTGGTTAAACTTTCTGATTTATTTATCCTAAGACAATTCCTCTGATATTAACGAAGCACCAGCGAACTCGTCTGAGGAGTTTAATTAACGACAACAGCTCCTCGTGTCATTTAAACTCAGCTTCATCATTAGGATTATTGGCATGGAATGTAGAAGCGGAGTGCGGCACGCTTCGTTGGACTGCCACAGTTGACGGAGCAGCGTTAGGGGCAGAGCAGCGAGCCACGGCGCCGGATCAGCATTGATCTTAAAGGTTCGTGGGCAAAACGGATATTGATTTCAGCAACGGACAACCGGTATAAGCTAGTCACGTGACGGCAATTAACCGTCTTTTAAATAACAAGACGAAACCTAGATTTAAATGTCTTTAATCGCCTTGATCAGTCCAGGAGATATATGAAGAACATCAGGAAAAAAAGCAAGGTTGACATGTTGTCCTAAAGTAAGGTAAGTAATCCAATTTTATTGTTAAGGGTAGCCTAAACTTGTTGTAAAGTAAAAGTCAGTTCGTCCGGCAAGATTCCTAGAAGTATATTATGTTTTGTTAATGGTAGGTACGACGTACATTACGCGATGGGTATGGGTGGAAGGTCACATGCCCTATACATTGTGGTAAATGAAGTTTTTATTTTTTTATTTTAACATGTCCAGAGTTTGGTATGTACAATAGATACAGCCTCACGACAAATGAACGACATTGGCGTTTGCTTTCGCTTCTCGGTGACGTAGAATTATACCAGTAATTATCTGGTAATCACTTAGTATAGAACCCAGAGAATGTGATGTGTTGTGCCGAGCAGATTCGCAGTCATATAGCATGTAATATTCTTTTAAAATCATTTTAAGCACAAATATTTGTAGCACATCATACGATATGTTGTAAATGACAGGAGAGCACTTTTAATTCCAATTACTGGTTGCTTTGCAGTGATAAAAGATCATAAAATAATTAACATTTCATATTGACAAAAACATTTCCCACGTTTTTCTCCGTTGGAATGGAGAGACCGTATAAAGTACGGTTGTTAATACTGATAATTTAAACTAGGTTATGGTGAACGGTAAATCGGGCGCCTGAAGATTTCAATTAAAATATTGTTTTCTTGACAAAAAGAAGAAGGGGAAAAACCGCACAATATTCAGGATTTCTTAATTACCATAAATGATTGTGGCTCGATAAGCTGGGAAGAGTCTGTTCTATTTGAAATCTGCGGTATATATATAACAGTGATAAAGAAATGAATGTACAATCGATCAAATGTGCTGTATAACGTGACTTTTATTGTTCACGGAACTAGAACATTTTCAAAAATGTGTTTGAAATGTGTGGAACCAAGTGGATACGTGTTGCCATAGTGGTTTCATTTCGAATTCACAAACTGTAAATCAGATTAGTGGTGTCTTGTACATGGTCAAAACGAATCCTCGTGGCATTGATAGGTATGACAGTAGACAGGGAATCCGAATTCTCGTCGAATCTCTCATTCTATGACAGATGGAATGTCTATTTCGATTTCCCGTTCTTTTCTCTTACTTTTATTGGTTGTCTTGATGTCGTTTGAGATACGGTTCCAGTACAATAATTACTGAAGTTTCCTGTACTGGTTCGGCGTTGACAAGTTAAATACAAATCGATTACTTATACGCGCGTGTTAATTGATCGCAGGAAGATTTAATTTATATTTTTATGACTGACTATGATTGCTAAACACTGTTTTTGAGGAGAATAAAGCATGCCCGTTTTACACGTATGAATTGAAGCAGTGCATGCAAAATAATAATGGACCCATGCTAACACGCGGCAGAATTTATTATCATTCCAGTTAGTGGGATATTTTACGTGTAACTGCTTGACCGAGCTGTGTAAGAAGTTGTAACAGCACGTGCGTTTTCCGACTATCTGATACAGACCCATACGTGTCATCTCACGTGGCATGCCACCAGATGTTCCTGGGATTCCTATTCGCAAAAAAACCCCAAAAAACTAACATGACAATACATTCGTTGACATTACGTTTGTGAGAGACTTTGATGAAATATTGGAACGTCTAATTTACGAAGCGGACACGGACTTACGAGTTCCACAAGAAGCATCCGGAAAACTTACCCGGGAATAACTAGTTTATGGTACCGGCGCCGGACTTGTGTTACGGTGAATGAGTAAGTTCTGCGCGACTAATGAATTACTGAGGTGAGAACGCTATTTCTACATTTGTCTTTAAAATATTCAGCACTGATTTGATTGAATTGCACAGATATTCAAATCAGAGTAATTGTGCAGTCACGCATGAGAATTGCATTTTGTTAATTAATTTAACTCTTAGCCGAGACTGTAATGAAAATGTGTTTCCCTTAATATTTTGAAATATTGAAATGCCTCTTTTATGTAAATTTAATTTGATCAGCTGTAAAGAATATAATGTAAAATTGTATAAAGAAAAAAGAACGATAGTTCTATGAACTGAGGGAGTAAATACGGCATCTGTTTTACTGCAAATCAGCTAAAGATATTAAAATCAAGACAGATAAAAATGACAATGCATGTAAACAATCGTCGATATGATGACAATTACATTATACGCGAAGTATGTTAACACGTGTTTATAAGAAATAGCGACTGATTATTGTTAAGTGTCCCGAGGGTTCGGCCCGTCACATTATCCGTTATCAGACTCAACAGACTGGCTGTAAGGTAATTTGTATAACCTAGTTAATTCCCCACCGCAGGTGTCGGGGGACGGGGCCAGTTAGACTTCATTCAGATTGTCATGCGACTGTATTGATATTGTATTGTTATTGCTGCTCAAGAATTCAATCAGACTTTGATTGTTCGTTGTAACTTTACTGGTAAGATGGTAAACACAAGCACCGAGTGTACCGTACACTTCTATAGCAAGTTCATTACATTGTTATCAAAAAAAGAAGTATATACATGTAGCAAAAATAAATTCAATCCTCCTATGTTTGGGGGATCTGACACATTTTAGCGTTGTCCTAGGATTAAACCGTCAAGATGAACTGTATTTGCATGCTCTTCTCCTGAAAGGCTTTTATGTGTTCTTATTCAATCTGAATGCAGATAAAAGATACCTTCCATTCATATTTCTGTTTTGTTATTGCACATTTTGAAACTATAGAAAAAAGTCCTTTTGATGTTTGAATATTTGACTGAATGCGAAAAGTAAATCAGACTACTACCATTTCATATATGTATATTGGTTAATGCGATATGCATCTGCATTTTAATTTTATCTATATCATATTTTCTTTGAAAAGTTCCTATTGTATTTAATAACCTCTTATAATTTCAAGTTTCGTTACTGATAATTGCATTTCCCTAATAAAAAATATTCAAATGTATTGAAAAAATATATTTAGTAACGTACGCTTAAAGAACACTGATTTTAAACCGGCATGATTAACTATTGAAGTTAGTTAAAAAAATACATAATTTACTGTCTTGACCTCTAGGATATTGTTCAGGATTTTTTTAAAAGAAATACTGTCCCGGGCTATAGCAATATCTTACTTTCTCCTTAAATTGAACGCTTCACTGTGATTTGTAAATCCCCGTTCGCGTTTCATAGCTGATATATAAGGCAATCTAAAAATACAATGTTGAAGATATTCTGATGATAAATATGTTGATGGGATTCTCAAGCGTTTCTTACTGATGTTGTCACTCACAAAGAACGAAAACGTCAGTTTTAAGTACTTTTGCTGCTCTGCCCGAGGGATGGTTTAAGAAAAGCATGTATTGCCAGGCGGGGAAATATATATTTGTTGTGTTTAGTATGGTGCTTTCATATTTATAAAACGTTATAGGAGAAGCGTGTTATTTCACATCTATTTCAGAACGTGAACGGACAGGCTAACATGTGGTATATTATCAGTACCTTAACTAGTATTTGTGTACATGTACAGAACTAATTAAAAATAATAATTCCATATTGTTAAAATATTACCAATTAGTAGTTACAGACAATACAACATCTTGAAATAGAATTTCATTTCATTTCAAATAAATACATATTTTCTTAAGCGCTTTTAATATTGCATAAAGACCGTCATGTTTTCGATCATTTATTACGTACAATCAATTAAGATATTGGACTCGAAGGCGTATGTTGGTGCGCATACAAACTAAGCAAACATACTGTTTTTTTACCAATTGTTCATATATCGAACATTTTCTTCAGTGATGTCAGATCACCAAACATATCTTTTACAAATAATGTCTATATATTCCTGAGAGAATTCAGCAGCTGTTAAAACACACCGCCAGTTCCCAGGGGACGACTCGACAAATTGAAGTATTTGTTTGCTTACTACTCTGTCTGTCTTTCACTATTTACAATGGAAATTAATTTTTCTATCTAAATGGACTTAAAGTTTTTAATAAATGTTTTAAAATCTAAAAGTAGATACTTGGTAACTAAGAAAACAATTTGAACCAATGACGTCACCAAGGTCTACCAATTTTAGACAAGTTCAACATCTGTAAAAGATAACATGTCAATATTAAATTTATCAAATTAAGGCCTATATTTCAGAAAGAATCAATATTGGTATTGTCACCTTTATGACTTAAATTTGTAGTTTTTGTCACTTAATCATTTTTCTAATCGTTATTCAACAAATATAGCTTTAGATTATATTTGCGAGAATTTCTATTCTCACCATCATAATTTTTTATTTTTTATTTCACTTTAATGGGGAATTACATCGAGGAAACCCCAGATCCTCCATCATTTCCGCACCAATGACCGTTGATCGATTTATCCGGTCCTGATCCGGTCCCGGGCCTATTATTTACTTGTTACATGGCGGACCGAGACAAACATATCTGCTCAGTGAACTGATTTTTGATTAAATCTACATATAGCTTTGCCAAGAAAATGAAAAACCATTTCGCCTGGTATTCGGACAAATTATGAATTGCGCAGAGTAGACTATATAGACACTGTAAGTGGTAAACACTGTGGACATAATTATATACGTAGTGGTGTAGGTCCCGGAATTACACCCGAAGTTGTTCCGAGAATTTTAATTACTGACGATATGTACACAGTTGTCAATCAATATCTAGCATTGTGTATTTGTTGCAATGATTGATAAGGGCTCTAGTCTGTATTGAACTGTGTACTCATTTAACAATACAGTATATACAGATATGTAATTTATGACTGGGCGAAATGAAAGGGAAACTGGCAGCTTAAGAAAGAAACTATTATTGGAAATATCCAGCGATTTCTGTCGATATATTATCTGTTGTTATATATATGTCAATATATTTACCACTCTATGGTACTTCGACTCAGATATAGCCCTACCGAATTCCGATGACATTCATATCGGCTATGAATGTCATGTCCCGCGTGTTGATGAATCAATACTATGACATTTTTGTAACGTTGGATACCACTGACCTTATTTGAATTAAACGC